AGAATGGTACAGGTAAGAAGGGTGAAAAGAACAAAGTGAGGCATTAGGTATTATACCGTAAATCAAAACTCACATAGTGATGAGTCATAAGCCGAGTCGTTCAAGCTTGGGTTCAACTATTTAGCAACTGGAACATGAGTTGAACCTACTTTGGTAAACTTTACAAAGGCAAGGCTCTCACTTGAACAACGACGCTTCGAGATTGCAGATCTGTTGCCAACAATAGTCGACGGCGAACAACAGCTTGCAGATGTTTTCAGCAGCAGCAGATAGACTAAAGAGCAACTTTAGCTTTGAGTTTGGGGTTATTTCAAGTTAAGAATACATGCAACAAACCGAATTGGCCATGTTAACCGCTTGTTCGTCGCCGCGAAACAAGTCGCTACTGTAGTTGGGAAAACCGAGGCAAAAATGATCTGATTGAAGGTTCTGATATATTTTTCTTTTCAGAAAATACCCATTTTGTAACACTTTCGATGACAGAAATGAGTTTGAAAAGAAATTCAAGATCAAAGTCGGGCGGTGAGCTATCGGAGATGATCTTCCATTCCAGCAAGAGGTCGTAGATTGACCAGTTCAAATCCGCGATGAATGTCAGCAAACCGTTGAGTCCTGTTTAAATGTTATTTGCTCATTTCAAGAAAGAAACATTGATACTATTTATATTACTGATCCACAGCAAACACCCATATTACTTTAATGGAGAAGTCTGAATTAGGACTGATTTTCACTAGAACCAAATTGTCAGCGGTGGTTGTAGTAATATAATTTTTGATGACATTTTCAAAGCACTTTATACACCAAAGCGATTTGCCAGATGGAGAGCGCTTACGCAGCCGTACAAAGAACACCTCGTCAGTCATTTAGACAGGGATTTTTCTTTTGCATTGTAAATGTTACAAAAAAGAAGATATTGAGCTGTAAATTTGTACCCGGGGGATTCCGGAGTCGGGAAATCGCTTGGAAATATTCCTTTTTATGGAGTCTATGGCCAAATTGAGTCAGAAAGGCAAGGGTTTAAGGAAAAGCTCATTGTTGTATTTAATTTATGAATTTGGTCAAGTATTGAACTTCTATTTGAACGGTGTTGTTAGGGGGATTACTTTAAGAAAAAACCCAACAAACCCAATAGAAAGACGATCCATAACAAAACAATAAAGGCTTCCGAATAAATCTTAATTGTTTCAACGAGAGACATTATTGTGGACAAAAATGGAAACGTTTTTCCTGTCCTAGACGGAACCAACCCGAAAAAGCCATAACTTCCAAATTGCTTTCCAACATAACTACTCATTATTGAATGTACTTGATCTTTGAAGATCGCATGACCAGATTTTGCACAACTAAACATAAAATTACTGTGTTGTTTCTATTTTTGCGATCTGTGATGTTTAACGAGTTTTTGGATATTTATCTCCATGAATATATTTATCTCCATATTTCCTGGATAACGGCTAAAGGTCTAAAACCTCAACCCCCCCCCCTAAATTTTCTCACAAAAATGCAAAATTTCATTTTAGAAAAATTTCATTGTAGCCATGATGTAGCCTGAAGATTTTGTTAAATTTTCAGCTTTGGGTGTAAATTGATTCGTCGCTTCTGGACGAAGCTCTAGCGATTCTCCCAAAAACACCAAAATCCTGTCTACGGGCCTGACTTGAGACATCAAAAGAACTCAAAAAAAGAGCATGGATATCTTTATAAATTCACATGTCACTTTAAACTTTTATTATTTACTTCAACAATATTTTAAAGGAGCCGCCACAAAAAGTAAAGTATGACTTGAAAAGAAAGCTATCATGTAGAGAAAGTGATCGTTTTTGAAAAGGAGTCTTTTCTGAAGGTGATCTCCGGGGAAGTCGTCAGATAGAACTTCAATATTTTTCTCCGGCATTCGAGCATTCAGCTGTTTGAATAGTTTTCTTCCCTTCAACGTTCGAGCTTTCACTTCGATAAGGGAATACCTTCTCAAGAGTTTTTCCTTTATCAGATCTACTAATTCGGAGTCCTTTCCACTTTGTTGATTTCCACCAACAACGCCGACTATCGTCTTATCATCTTTGTCAATTCGATTCTCTAGCACGAAATTTAGAGACTCTTCGAAATATATCCAAGTTACCCTTTTTTGTTAACAAAATTTTAGGTTTGATTGTTGACATCGATCTCCAAAATGTTTCCACCGGTGTACAGGCGAAAATTGGACAATCACGGATCTGTGGCTTTGAAATAATTCGTGAAAACACCTCTTCTCCCTCCATTTGAGCCGATTCACCAAAAAAATCAATGCTCCTTGCATTTATTGAGAATTTTTGACAAACCGTCGATCGGAAATTCGCCATAATCACGCAAAAAGTCGATAGTTTGTTGATTGAGATAGAAAAATTCCTCAGAATTTTAATGTTTGGCAAAAAAGTTGAGTCGACATTGTCGCCCACTTTTCTCAACGTTGGTTTTCTCAAAAAAATCAAGCTTCAAACATTTACAAAAACGAATCTTTTCAAATAGCTGCCAGTTTTTTGGTTTGATTCGAAGCCTGCCCCAGCAGAATTGCAGAAGACGGGAATTTTTCGTGATGAAATTTATTTTTTCTTTGTAATCGAGAGAATTACGTGGCTCAATGAGAATACTCAAGTCTGGAATAAACAGGTTGCCCGTTTGATTTCTTTCAAAAATTCCTTTAATCGTCATACTGCCAATATTTTTCCCAAACGGTCCTTCCATTAAAATCCTTTGACGAGACTTTTGAGAAACTTTCATGAATTTCAATGAATCGAGAATATTTACATGTTCGTAAAGGGAATCTTGAAGAATTAGGGGTAATAAGTTAATGCTAAAGTGGTCCATTGTTTTTGGAAAGTGGCGGCAAATGAATCAATAAGAATTTTCTTGTGCAAGCGGCTCCGCTTTCGTCATTGCTCTCTTTTCTCTTATCTTACCATCTTTTTTTTCGTGGCAGTTCGGGATGAGATGTATTTCTATCCCTTGGTTCAGGCAAAATATTTGTTAAATCACAGAAGGGTTTATATACAGGGTGTCCCAAGATTACCCGGAATAGGGTGCATGATCTTCGGCAGTAGTTTTTTGCCTGCGTAACAAATTATTTGTAATCGTTTTATATTTTTCTATTGATTCCATGGTTGTTGATTGTTTTCCGTATGTTTTATATGTACTAATAAGCAAAATTTTAGAATGATCCAGAAATCGATACATAGAGAGTCGATCATCAACCTGCATCAAAAGGAAATCGCTCCACTTGATATTTCTCGACAATTAATGACTCCAAAATCAATTCTTTACGATACAGTCAATCGTTTCAAAGCACAAATTCTGATCGAGCGGGACGTGAAAGAAAGATTACAATAACGACGCCGAGTAACATCAAGAGAGTGCGTGACCGCTTCTGATACAAGAACACCCGTTCTCAGAGGAAAATAGCAAGGGATTTGGTGGAATGGGTCGGATGAGGTGGAATGGGTCGGATGAGGTGGAATGGGTCGGATGAGGTGGAATGGGTCGGATGAGGTGGAATGGGTCGGATGAGGTGGAATGGGTCGGATGAGGTGGAATAGGTCGGATGAGGTGGAATGGGTCGGATGAGGTGGAATGGGTCGGATGAGGTGGAATGGGTCGGATGAGGTGGAATGGGTCGGATGAGGTGGAATGGGTCGGATGAGGTGGAATGGGTCGGATGAGGTGGAATGGGTCGGATGAGGTGGAATGGGTCGGATGAGGTGGAATGGGTCGGATGAGGTGGAATGGGTCGGATGAGGTGGAATGGGTCGGATAGTGAAAAAACATCTCAAAATGAAAGCTTAGGCTCGATTCACTTAAGAAATCCCTTCAGAAAGCTTGGGATGAAATCGAAATGAAATTTCTTCACAAATCTTGAACGATTGGGTCGATAGCATGCCAAAAAGGATTCAAGCAGTGATTTCAGCCAAGGGAGGCCCGACAAAATATTAAATATTTCAGTTTTCACTTCAGGGCCAATATTTTTGCACACATTTTTTGCGTCATTTTCTCCTTGCATGCTTTTTTATATTGTTGCTCGGAAATAAATTGTTGTTACCTTTTTTGAAAACTAGAACTAAAATACTGTATAACAACCATTGAAAGTTTTCTTGAATCATTTAACAAAGTGAACTTTTTTGCGTTTTAAATTTGAACAATGGGAGGGGCCAATACTTTTGCGCATGACTGTAGATGTCCAAGACACAAAATATTAAATAAACATTGAACTCGTTCAGTTGAATAGAACGATAAAGTACGGCTATTACCCGGATGGACAAACATGCCGTCAACCAAAGCCCGATGACTGGGCTTGTGCACCAAAAACGATAGTAAAGTTTTGATCGGTTAAAATCGAATCAAAAAATAGAATCTACTTTTAAATCTATTTTAAATCTATCTATAATAAAATCTATTTTTGACCTATCTATAATCATCTATAATCTGGCCAAGCAACACTTTTTCATAAAAAAAAAACTTATAAAGCCCATAAATTTAATTTTATGTTTAATAAAAATCATCACACATTGGCCGTTATCTTAAACGACTTTCTCGGAAAAGAAACAAAATAAATATCCAAATCCAAACGATGAGATCCAAATGTGTGTGTTCTTTTCAAAATTCATCTTTTACCACCGAGAAGATCTTTGTTTTCACATTGAGAAGGTTTGACCGAGAAAATCATATAGCGTTCTATTTTTTTTTCGTTCACATTCAAATAAATTATACTAGTCTACAGAAATTTAAAAAAAACTGCTTATAATGATTCCTTTCTTTTCAATTCTTTTCAAAATTCATCTTTTACCACCGAGAAGAGCTTTGTTTTAACATTGAGAAAGATTCAATCGAGAAAATCATATAGAACTTCTATTTTTCTATTTTTTTATCGTTCACATTCAAGTAAATTATCCTAATCTACAGAAAAACAAGCAAAACAAAAAAAAAACAAGAACAAAAACTGCTCATAATGATTCCTTTTGGGTTTCCAATCAGACCAAATGCCAGTAATAATCCAACGGAGTCGCTTCGTATTGTTCGATACATGACTCGTGAATGAATGAATATTCACTCAAATGATGCCATGCACCATTGATCTCGTAGGAAAAGATTCGATAACTGAAAATCGCTTGACAATTACCGTAATCTTTCCATTATTGGAGAATAGGGCTGCGCTGTGCACAAAAATTTGCGTAGTCTCAAAGTTTTCCAGTATTTCATTTTTTTCAAAGTGTCCTTACTTTCAAAAATGCTTCTTTGGTATCAAAAAATAGCGCTGAATTTCAGCTATTTTTTGATACCTAAACGCGCATTGTAGCATAAACCAGTGTCGAGAAAAAGACGTTCAAAGCTAGACTATGCAACGTCAACGTGGGGAACTATTACAGTATTTATCGTATACGTTTTTTGGACTCTTTTGAAACAATGAAGAATTGATGATGAATTTTCTAATTTCACGATGTTTTCTTTTGTTAATTGCAAAAACTTTTTACCCTTTCCTTGCCATTTCGGAAATCAGCTCGACGACTTTCTTCGGTTTACCGTGAATTTCGATTAGAATCTAAAAATTTCGTTTTATTTGGATCCAGGTGTACCATATGGAACCAAAAGTTTGAAAACAACGTCATTTTTGTGTCCAAATTGATTGTTTTCGAGATTATAAGACTAAAAAAACGTTCTCTTTTTGATTAGTCACCTGACAAATATCGACCACTGAAATCAATTCGGGAATCACGGAAAATTCAGAACCTAAACGAGAAGAAAATTGTTGTCAACAAGTGAGAGCAAAAAGGTTAAGTTTAAGGTCAAAATTTCGAAATAAACTCAGCTAGCAAAATCCCCAAACCAACCCTCAATATCGATCTTCAAAATCTCGATTCTGTCGATGTTCAATCGTTTCATCTCTCCTTGAATGCTGCGAATGTTATTCTGAATTTAACAGAAAGCTGGATCAAGTCAAGTAATCAAGTACAGTCAAATCTCGTTAGTGACTACCCCGATAGTGACCGATTTTTGGACCTTCATGAACGTCCGCCTTATAAATTACGTTAGCAAAAACCTAGAGTGACCGGATATTACAAAACCCTATAATGTCAAAATGAACCATTTTGAATCTCGTTAGTAAACTATGGCAATTTGCATTGTAAACTTGCAAAAAATTTTAATGAAAAAATGTTTCTCTAAAATACTTAGCCAATAAACCGAAAGGCAACTCTGTTATCGTTTAAATTCCCTCTTCCAATGACTCTCAATGTTTAGCTTATACCATTTTAGAACAGATTTGGTAGTGATTGATTTGGAATCACTGTGAAACTGGGGAGATTAGGTATACTTTATTAGACGAGGAACTATTAGTGAACTCGTTAGAACTATTGAAGGGGACTGAAAAATTCTGCTATAATATTAACATAGCTCACAAGTAGTTATAGATAAGTTCGTTTTTATCTTTGAGGAGCTCTGAAAAGCCACTATCAAGTGGTCGTTAGGTTTAGTCACTAATGAGGTTCTGTCTTTTTACCCAACCTCATTTTTCCATTGAAATTTACTGTTTAACATCTTCTAGACGTGCTTTTTGGTTAGAAACACTACTTTAGTACGAAAAACATGTTTAAGAGTAAAATCTGAGTGTTTTTGGCGCTTTATAAGGCAAAATCTCTTTAGTGACCGGTTTTTCCGGGATCCCGTCTATAGGTCATTAACAGGGTTCGATTGTAGTACACATTCGCGACAAAGCCATTTTTTTGGGTTTGTCGCTAAAAATTTGTATCCCAACTTTGAGAGTATCGGCACAAAGTGTTTTAGAGTGTTTTAGAGATACTTGAGGGGAAAAACAATGCCGAATTCGGAGTCTCCATCTCCAAAAACCGCAAAGTGCCATTTTTAGATGATTTTGTCGAGAAACCGGGACTACCGAGAAAACCGTGCGACCCACCGGTGAGGCGCATTGTCGCGAATGTGTTAAATCTGCTGATTTTCAAGGCTAACCACAAGATCGTCTGTAAATGTTCGCCACCAACCTCGGGATCATCTCTCACTGAAATGAGAGCCTTCGTAAAGAAAGCGTTAATCTTTTCCATCCCTTCAATCACCGGCCCAGGATCTCTCTGAAATTTTTATTTTCTATCTCTCTAGATTAGAGTAAAAATCAAAATGAAATCTTTAATAAGTCCCCTCACTTTGTCGTAGGATTGCACAGAGCATTTCTGTTTTGTCAGCAATTGCATCTCCTTCTCAAAACTCGGATCACCAGCCACTCCAAGCGACATAATCGCACAGCCGGCTAAGAGAAAATAAATTATGAGTGAGTTCAAAAATGGATTTTTATGTTATTAACTTTTTATTAACAAGCTTTTTAATAGTTTAAACAGAAATTTTGCTGATGGCGGCATTATTTTTAAAAAGACGTTTGGAAAAAAAATTGTAAGGCTTATGCATTAACCTAATACTTTCCTTAGTGTTTAAAAAGTCTCACATGGCATGGCCATCGGATTACACACCCATTTCCCGCCATCATCCACATTTCCGATTCTTACGAGACTCGGGCAGAAAACCTTGATAACAGAACTTTGACGTTTGAAAAAAACCCAACCTCAGGCACAATTCCATTGTAGAGTTTGGCGTATCCCCGCTGTTCACCCGCCACTCTTGCGGCATATTTCATCAAGTTGACTCGTTTGTCGTGCTATAAGTTTGCTATGAGTTAGTCAGTCATAGACATTCAAAACATGGACAGTGAAACTTCGTCAGTAAACTACGAAAGGAACGCTGGGTTCTGTCAAGGTTAAAATATTCCATCTTTGGGAGTTTAATTCAAATTTATTTATTCAGTAGTTTACTAACAACGTTTCACTGTAATTCCCATTCTAAACCCACTTGTATTTTATACATTTCCAGCACTGCATCATCCAAGCGACACGATCGGCTTTGATTAGCCCTTGTTTGTGATATGGGAACCGATTTTTGAGTGTTGTACACTTTGGTGTGGATTTCTCTTGTCACTAAAAGTGTTGGAGCAGTTTTCTTTCAAATAACTGAGCTTCATGAAGCATTACTCTAAAGTTTAATTTTAAAAGTCTGACCAGCTGTAATTGTCTGAAAAGGTTTTCAAAAACACAAAATTTTGAAATGACTTCCATGCCAAATTCTCAAAAAAACTCACAAGTTTTGATGTGAAGAATCTGAAGAAAAAGTACGATGGAAATAGCGAGAAGAACATAAATTTCTCGGGTGGCACTCATGAATATTATTGAGTTATTCGAATGGTGTTATTGAATGAGAAAGCTTTTGACGCTGTAAAAGATAAAAGAAGGAAAGAAAAAGGGTTCAATGTAGCAGATGCTCAAACAAAACCCTTCGCCACCACGTTCATTACACGATTTTCGATTTATTTGAGCACTTTCTGATTGATTTGACTGAGGACTGAAGGAAACTCAAAATGTCTGCAGGTTTTTACACTATTGGATTAGTGGATTGAAAACCGCGTTGTAGAGAATCAAAAATTAAGCTTATAACCAAATTTTCAGAACGATTCAAAAGCTGGTTTTCAAGAAATGCCAAATTTACGAATTTTCACAAAACTTGCATTTTAAGCGAAACTACTAAGTGTATCTTTTTGGAAATTTGGCTATAAGCCTAATTTTTGATTCTCTACAACTTTTCTATTGACACCAAAATGGGTTTCTTTGAAGAAAGTGCTCAAGCTGGGACATCTCCAGTCCTCCATTTTTGAGTCTCACACTTGTCTCTCACAGAAACTCGAATTCTACAACGAAAGAGGAATCCGCAAATTGCCTGTAAAATGGGCAGAAGTCGTCAATAATACTGGAAATTATTTCGAATGAATTCATGGTTTTTTGTTAAATAAATTATAGTTCAAAGTCCGACAGTTTTCAATTCACCAACCCAATAGTTACTCGAGGTTTTTATACGGTCGCCAAAAAAGTCTTGACCGGGCAATGTTTTCTCATTTTTCTCCCGTTAGATCGCATTCAAATAAATCGATTCCAATCTAGGATATTCCTAGATTTTTGATGTCTCTTTAATTAAAATTTTCAAGCTACTTTTGCATAAAAGGCTAAAGTTCTTTTTCTCAGATTTTGTTCAAGGCCTCAAAACTGTCAGTGGCCTTTCAGTAATAAATAAGTAATAGACGATTCATTATAGTTGAGACCGTTTTCAATGGGAATTTCATTCATTCTTGAAATACAGATTTTTAAAAACCATTCTCAAATAAGGTTTTTCGATCATAAAACTCTTAGTTCAAAGAATATCGAAAAGCTAAACGCTTCATTTTAACAACCTAGAAAAAGCTACACAAAACTATTTGTGGTCAATATATTTGGAGGTGATCATGTCAATATATTTGGATGGACCAAGTGAACACTGTCCGGCCAAGACTTTTTTGACGACTGTAATTAATAAACCCTAGTTTGTAATGATCGTGAGAAAAATGCCTCTGGAAAGTGGTTTTCTGGTTGCTGATCAGTTCTAGTTCGTGTTGGGAATTTTCTGGGGTTAATTTTGAAACGTTTTTTGTTTTGCTATTAGGTACTTGCAAAAGAAACTGCGGATTACTTCCGAGGATGAAAATTTTTTTTTATTCCAAAGTGTGATGGTTTGGTTTAAATGTAATTATATTGTATTATTACTGCTTATTCATTTTAATTATTTTCACAACTATTGCTATCATTAAATATTACGTAATCTTAGGTACAAGATGACGGATCAAAAACTCATGTTGCGGGCGTGCTTTCTCTATGACCCCAAAATGAAGAAATCAGCATCGAAGTCGCACCGGAATCTTTGTGAAGCATTCGGAGAAAATATTTTGAGTGAAAGGACTTGCCAGGAATGGTTTCGACGTTTTCGTGAAGGGGATGACAGCTTGAAAGATGAGCCTCATGGATATTGTCCAGTTATCTTCGATAATGTGGAGTTGCTGGAGATTGTCGAGTTGAATTCAACTCAAACTTTGCCCGAGTTAGCCGAATACTTTAAATGTGATTCGAGCACAATTTTTCGACAGCTTTCGCTTATTGGAAAAAGGAATCGTTGTCGCCAATGGGTCCCACATGAATTTTTCGCTGAAAACAAAGCGAATCGAGTTTTATTGACTCGAATTCTATTAAAAAAGGCTACGTGCAGTGCTTTTTTGAAAGCATGTTGATGATGGACGTAAAGTGGACATATTTCAATAATACAACACGCAAAAGACAATAGTTGAGCAAAGGAGAAAGGCCAATTCCGACACCACATCCAGAACTCCAGGGAAAGAAAGTTATGCTGTCGGCCATTTGGAATATTGGAAGGCTTTGGAATAAAGGAATCGTTTATTTTGAATTACGAAAATCTTCAAAAACTATAACTTTTCAAATCTACGCCAAACAGCTGAAGAAAGTTGATGAAATTCTACGAGAAAGAGGTGCTGATCCAAGGAAAATCCATTTGCTCGCTGACAATGCCCGGGTACACACATCAAACTTGGCTCAAAACACCATAGAAGAATTAGGCTGGAAACTTGTGCCTCATCCGCCATCTTCGTCTAATATTGCTCCCTCAGATTACCACTTGTTCTAGTCTATGCAACACTCTCTTGCAAATCAAAAGTTTAGCGATCCTGAAGAAGTCGAAATTTGAGCGCAAGACTACTTTGCGTTGCGGGACACCGAATTCTTCGAATCAAGCATCCGAAGTCTACGCAAAAAATGGAAGAACATATGAACACACTGTGAGTAAATTAAAGTTTAACTTTTTCAACTAATAATTGTTTATGTATTTATTCATTCGTTTTCAGTCTATTTTTAGGTCTGATTCCTTTTTGAAAAGTTTGTTATTTTCTAGGCAACGTCGTGCAGAACCTGTTCTCAACTTGCCGGTCGTCTCGCCGGCATTTGTCTCCCGCCGCTCAACTGCACTTGCTCGTCGATTTCAACCAACCTTATATGCCATAATTTCGACCCATTTAACAACTCGAAAAGAAAGCGCAAACTCTCGACTTGTCTTCTTTGATGTCAAGCTGGACAAGAATTATGTCCCTTTTGATCTCGAAATGACACCTTACGAGGCTGAGCTCAAAATTGCCGCCCATCGGACTAGATCAGGAAAATATGGTTCGATGTAGAAAAGCTCAAGCCGCTCTTTATCTCACTCACATAGTCTCAGTACACTTATGATGATTCCGTGTTAAATTATTGATAGTGAACGGAAAAGGAGCTGTACAAACTGAAGGTCGCTTATCCCTAACGACCTGAAGTAAATTGTACTATAATTCCTAACATTAGTTCCACCAATCTTTTTGTTTTACAGAAGCTACCTCTTTGTTCTGATCGGGAGGTTGGCTACAGTTCAGTTTTGAGTAGTCAATCAAGAACAGAGTATCATTCGTTGCACTGAGCTAGGCTGGCTGAAAGATGTATGATTTAGCCACTAACTGTAAGAATACAGCTATCCTTTCGCTTTGACGATCACTTTTAAACTTTTCCTCTTTTTTACGGAAACTAGTTCACCTCGTTTGCCAATTCCCATCCACGAACAAAAAACGATCTTTTGTAAATTGTAAATTTCTGTGTTGGCTTTGGGCTACTTTGATAGAAGTCATTATTAGCAAATTATTATTATTAGCAAAACATCGGGAGCATTTAGGCCAATTTTTGGGCTTTTTGAATTTGAAAAAGTTAGAATTTCCTTGAAAAGTTCACGTCATGTTGAAGCTATGTTATGTGTACACATTATGGCTTTTTCATAAATTTATCCACGTCTATCCGTTGGCTTTTTTCGTCGTTGGACGGCTCGTCGTCGCCCAGGGCTGTATCTCATCTCTGGATATTTGCATGATGTCCAAATTGTCGAGCAAACTGAAACCTTTGATTAGTTAGGTTCATTTCTTTGGGTTCACTCGCCGTAATGGAATCCAGTTCGGCAAATGGAATTCCTTTGGATTGAAGTGCCTGGGAAGAGTGTTATATGGCGTTGCAAAGTGCTAAACTGTATTTTTAGAACGAGGTGGAGAAAAGTTCGCAGTTCTGGCAATAATCAGCTTTAGACTTGTAACGAAAACATCTGTCGATCTTTTTGGCCGATGGTAATTTAAACTTTTTCGTGTTTTTCTCAACCAACCCTTTGATTTCGACTATTTTGACTATCATTCGATGCAGAATAAAATTGCGGTCGGATGATACCAAAATAAACTCAAGATGTGATCTCCATGCAAAGTTATCAGGCAAAAAGTTAAGTCCCGCCCATAATGGGCGGGGTTTGAGTTTTTCGACAACGAATGATCGAAAGGATTTGAGTGAAATACTCTAAATCGTTTCCTTTTCATTTATCGTCGGTTGTTTTGATTTGTTTGCTTTGGTCTCGTTTTTCTTTCATACGAGCGTTTCTTTCATACGAGGTTTGCTTTTTGACGGAAAGATATTCGTTTCGAACAGTTGCTAATGTAAATATTACAAGGGATGCAAGTTGTTCAAACATTGCATTACATTTTCGTCGTGTTTCTGCGTGGAAGGGTAAACGAATCAAGAAGAATCGCTTGCATGTTTAAAGAAACGATCGAAAGGAATTTAGTGAAGTTCTCTAAATCTTTTCCTTTTTTATTTATCGCCGGTTGTTTTGATTTGTTTGTTTTTGGTCTCATTTATCTTTTACTAAAATGGATAACCGCTGAACGGAATCTTCTGAAAGATTTCTCTTTCCCGAGACAAATTTACATACGAACATTTGCATAGGCAAGCATAACGCGTCTCCTCCTTATTTCCGCCAAAATGTCTATTCGATTTCCCAAATTACTAAAAAAATTTTTAGAATAGATAGAATGTATGAGTTGTGATCTGCGCCAATAAAGAGCGAAGTCAGAATAAATTATTTTTTATATATTTCGCTTTGTACAC